TATTTATACATAATATAATATTATATATAATTTATACATATTTATTTACATTACACATAAAATCATATAGGCCTAACAAATATATATTTTACTATCCATTCATTTTTGTATTTTATAAACATGATCAGCAGCCAGCGCAGACGATTCGAAGTTACTGGTTTCATGAAGTAGGTCACGTGAACACACGAAAATGGAAATAAAACAAACAAGAAATCACAAACCTTGTGTCAGCTTCACCTTACCATGGGAATCAATTTGTGGAAGCGTTTCTTTCCACAATTGTAGTTATGCAACTAAAGAATAGGCCTAGAAAGTTGAGTGATTTTCTCGGGCTTATAAAAGAAACATGAAACGGCTTTTAAAATGTACAGCATGCAATTATAAATTTATTGATAATTTGATATGGAAAATATAAATATGAAAATACATATTTCCTTTACAATATTATTATAAACATGATCAGAACATATGGTAAATGGAAACGTAACAGACAAGAAAAAAAATGTATGCGAAACTAATCTATTGACTATACTTATTCTATAAAGCTTTATTTGATTCAAGCAGAATAATAAAAATTATATCAATATATATATATATATATATATATATCGCAACAAACAATAAAACAACGTATCTCAAACTCGATCAACTTCGTATAACATCTGCGTTGTTTCTGTAAAAAAAGAAAAATAGCACCAAGTGATACAGTAATATAGTAACAATAATAACTTTGATACTAATATAAAAATAATTGTTAATAAACTAATGTTACAGTAATTTAAATAACGAGTTGGCTGGTTTTTCCTGATAAAAAGTTTGATTTTTATAAATATTTGTTATGTAGTAGGAAGCGTAGAATCGATAACAAAACGAAAAAACCCCGTCCGATAAAAGAGTGAAATGTTACTAGGAATGCAACAAAATAGAAAATAACCTATATAAATACCATAATATTAATTGAAATTTAATTTAGTAATAATAGTATTCAATTTATTTGCTTTTAAGTAGCCTATGCTGTTACTTAGTAAAAAGACAACAAAACATAAATAAAAAAAGTATGATAAACCAATGATAATTAGGCCTAGTTATATTAAATTTAGCGTTTCGAAACTCCATTGGCGCTCCATATATTTGTTGAAAACAAACCCCTGTCCCTGTCTCACACTAAACACCATTCCTTTGTGCACCTTCTGACACACCTACATACGTAAAAATAATTTAAATTTCTATGGTGATTAACAATTACACAATTAAAGTTGCTCCCATTTACAAATATAGGCCTAAATCGTAAATCTACAAATACAATTACAAAATTATATAATTCAATTACAAATATAGTTTACTTTTTTTAAATACAAAACCCCAATTAGTGGCGGATCTGGGGGGGGGGTAAATAGGGTGGCTAGCCACCCCCCCCCCCCTTTGTTTACCGTGAACAAAAAATAATGGTCGCTTTTCTCTTGTGTGTGTGCTTCTCGTGCACTCTAGTAAAACATGCACTTTCTTTTTTAAGCTTTTCAATTTGTTGCTTTAATTTTTCTCGGCATTGCCGATTTAATCACCAAATTGGGGGACTTCCTCTTCGCTTCGCATCGTTAAAAGCTATATTAACTATTAGCACATTAAAGTGGCGGATCCATGTGGGGCCACTCTGTGAAGAAACGTAACAAAATACTATGGGTCCTGGCTTACAAAATTCATGCTAACTAGACGCGGATCCAGACCTTCGCCCACTGCGCCCAGGCGAAGGTCAGGATGAGAATTCAAAATAAAATGTTGACCATTTTTCCAACAATCATACTTACTTTCCTTGACACTTATTTTGAACATTACCATTACAAAAATGCTTAAATCCACACTATCCTATACATTACACTTTTAAACTGATTGTACTGTATACTCTACCAGACTAGAGAGAGAGAGAGGTATATTTCCAATACATTATGATCTTCCACTTCTATAGCGCATGATACAGTGCATAGCAAACGTTATGTAACCACTAATAATACTTAGGTCCAGTGGCGTAGGTATGGACAGTGCAGTCAGTGCACAGCACTGGGGCCCGGGGCTATTGGGGGCTCGTTCAATAGGTCTAATGCTCTAAAAATATAACTTATAAAATCCTATTTAAACTTTAAAAGGACCCTTCAATAATAATAGGTTTTATGTGCTTTTACCTATTACCTATTTCCAAAACGCTGCAAGTAAAAAAACATCAAAACAAGCCCTTACGTATACGATGCACTACTTTTTTGAAATCACATTTCTAAAGCAATAAAATATCGTCATGCACATTTGTGTTTGTGGTATTAATGTTGGTTAAACTATTATTGTGTACGTTTTTAAACTTCAGATCATCATAACATCATGAATTTTAGATTCAATTCACTGCAAGTAGGTCGATGACTGTTCTATTATTGAATGGTAAATGTTATTTTCGCGGACGATAGACAATACCTGGATTTGCGTCAGGAGAATCAATTGGGGGCCTATATGTATTTTGCCCAACCTGTCGTGAAAGTATTGAATACTCAGTGCGTGATTCAATATACATTTTTAAATCACATTTCTAAAGCAATAAAATATCGTCACGCAATTTTGTATTTGTGGTATCACTGTGTCCCACTATAGCCAATTTGGCAACCACTGGACACGATGAAAAAGAATAGGATTATCTTGGAAAATATTAAACAAGATATTTATAGTTTATAATTTTTTTTTTTGTTTTTTTTTTAAAGAGAGCTAATCTAATAATTTTTTCTATGTGCCCTTAGCAGTCACTGAACACAATGAAAAATAAAATGATTAACTTAGAAAATATTAAAGAGGACATTTGTACTTTATCAGTGTGTCCCACTATAGTCAATTTGGCAACCATTGGACACAATAAGAAAGAATAGGATTATCTTGAAAAATATTAAAAGATATTTATAGTTTATCACTCTGTCCCACTATAGCCAATTTAGGGCACTGAATACATAGTTAGATTATCAACCCCCCCCCCCGGGGGAAAATTCTTGAAATACTGATGTGGGAATAAAAACAAACATTTTTAAATTATTTTAACAGCATAGCACAATGCTATTTTATGACTTCAGATGCATTTCTTTAAAAAAACTATAAAATTAAACCAGTTTTTATACAATATTTACTAGGCCTATTACTAGCCAAATATAAATAGTCCCTCCCTCATCAATAAAAACAAAAGCGCAATAACAAATTGTTCTGATTTAAAAAAAAACAAACAAACAAACAAACAAAAACTGCCCTCCCTCATCGTTTTTTTTTTTTTAAAGAGTGATAATCTAATAATTTTTTCTATGTGCTCTTAGCAGCCATTGAACAAAATGAAAAAGAAAAGGTTTAACTTAGAAAATATTAAAGAAGACAAGTTGTACTTCATCACTGTGTCCCACTATAGCCAATTTGGCAACCATTGGACACAATGAAAAAGAATAGGATTTTTTTGAAAATATTAAACAAGATATTTATAGTTTATCACTGTGTCCCACTATAGCCAATTTAGGGCACATAGAAAAAAATATTGGATCACTATTTTTTTTTAATCAGAACAACTGCTTCTTTTAATAGATGAGGGAGGGTCTTTTTTATTTGGCAAGAATATTGTAAATATTGTATAAAAAAACAGGTTTAATTTTTGTTGTTTTTTTTAAAGAAAACTATTTCCAATCACAAAATTACATTGTTTTTTATGCTGTTGAAAAAATGATGCGGCCAAGAAAAAGAAACATTTATTTAAATTTTAATATTTCCCAATTTTGTTGATGCGGGCTCGAGTGATGATCTAATAAATTTTTTTTGTATAGGCATAATTATGATCTGTTCATTGTGCGTTCGATTTTGATAATGATAGGAATGATAGGAACACTGTATGATCAATGTGCGCCAAAATAAATAGATGATTAACATAAAAAGTATGATGCCGTTTATTTGTACAATACTGCTATTGTTTCTAAAATTTGGTGGAGTAATGTAGTTCATG